CTTCAACTCCCAGAATTCCCCAGCCAGCAATTCTGGGAGTTGAAGTCCACACATCTTAAAGTTCCCAAGGTTGAGAAACACTGATCTAGACATTCCATGTTTGTTTCTTTCTCTCCTCCTGTGACTTACTTTCATCTTTTCATTCCATTTTCTCCCTTCTTTAGGTTTCCATCAATGGCAATCACATCCTAGATTACCGACATCGTCTTTCCATGCATCTGGTCCAGACTTTGCATATCGGTGGGGACGTCTCCATAAGCTGCATCAACTTCTCCGGGGGGCTGGTGAGTATTTCCATCAGCCTCTAACCCCCAGGTTAAGTTTACCAGCGTGGATTTTGTAGCTTCCGTTGCGGGAAACAGAAATTTCTGCATCAGATGGCAGTCCTTGGAAATATGGTAACTGAGTTCTAAAAGGAGCAGGATGATGGAATTATTACGTGAGAGTCACCGTCTGTCAACTGGCTCTTTATGGACAGCCCGTCCACCATACCTTATGGCCAATGATTAGAAGTAGAATTCAGGATGGGCTTTTCATTGCGGACATTACGGTCTACGCTGGAATATGAGATAAATAGTTACATGTTCAGGGGGAAAGTAAAGTGGTGGGGATATATTGCTAACGTCTAAACCACACTTGCATCCATTCACAGACTTAGATGGACCAGTAGCCAAGAAAGTCATGGTTTACAGCTCTAATTTTCTTCCCATCTCTCTTTAGTTGTGGACTTTTTAATAATCTTGTCTTTCAAAATCTTGCACTGTATTTTCTGAGGCAGTGTTTCTCAGCCTCAGCAACTTTAAGATGTGTGGACTTCAACGCCCAGAATTCCCCAGCCTGCCTTAAATGTAAAGTTGCTGAGGTTGAGAAACACTGTTCTAAGGTTTCAGTTGGATTATTAAGCGAGGACTACCTGTATCTATGTATCGAGTATTTTACACCTATGACTTGGCTTAAGTCTTTGGACTAGCATCGGTGGTTCCCTGATGGACTAGCCTCAAGTATGAATGAACAGTTCTAGACAAGGAGAGAATTTCCTCTTTCGACAAGAACTAGGGCATCCTTGCTGGACATCCTTGCTGAGAATTCTGGGCCTTTTAGCCCCAACTCATCAGGAAGCTTGGTCTGGACTGTCTTTTGCTGCTGAGATCCCCGTAACAAGAGTCCTTTGTTTTCTTTTCTCAGAACAGCAATGGAATGACGATGTGCAATCCGGTACGTGACCTCTTCTCCTCTGTTTAGGCCTCTGAGTTCTCCATCCCTGGGAAATTGGTTGGTCTTGACCCCCCATTTGCAGTGGCCCTTCAATGGCCTGGAAGCTCCTTCTGGTCTCCTGCAATGTCTGGGCAATAGACAGGAGGACTTTGGTTATATGGAATGTCTTTGAATGTTCCTTCATGAACCATCTGGAATCTAGTTTCTCTTGGAGATGGGATACTTAGGCAAGAGGGAATCAGATGTTGGGATTTTATTGGCACTTGCCTGAATATAGATGGTATAAGAACATGAGCAGCAAGCACAAAAACCAAAAAGGAGTGGAAGGGCAGATCAGGTAGAATTCAAGGTGAGTCTAATCAGAGCAGATGGAAACGAAGGAAAAATGAATAATCAAGTTCAGGACTCAGCTAAGGTCAGGGTGATAACCTATAGCACAAAGCTTTGTCTAGCAGCTTTTGTGTGTGTGTATTTCCTTATCATGGACTTGGAGATCAAAAAGGAGCAAGAAAGTCCTAGCATTCCAAGGTGACCTTGAAGCCTCCTTTCAAGATAAAAGCTCCTTTGCGTCAGGTTTGACCAATGTTGACTTCATGGACACATCCATGTAGTTTTCTTGGCTACAGTGCAAAAGTGGGTTGACACTGCCTTCTTCTGGATTGTGTTTTGAACTTCCTAGCCTAGCCTACACATCTGGTAGTCTCCCATCCAACTGTTAACCCAGTCTGATCCTACCTAGCTTTTCAAAATTGGCCAACTTGAGCTTGGTGCTGCCACTTTCTTTAGAGACACAAAGGGAGAGGACAATGCCAGACTAGGCCATCAGTCCCAAAATGGAACGTATCTGGCCTAACTCCCCTGAAAAGTAGAAATGTTATCATGTCATCTCCATCTTGGTTTTCCTAACACAGAAGTCCTCCAAGTCCTTGGATGGTCTCAGTTCTGTGTCTACAGGTGGTCCTCGACCTATGACTATTCATTCAGTGACCATTCAAAGTTATGGTGGCACTGAATGGTGGTTATGACCAGTCCTCAAAGTTCTTGACTGTCCCAGCACTCTCATGGTCACGTGATCACTATCTGGGCACTTGGCAACCCATTCACGCTTACGATTGGTTGCAGCGCCCTGCAATCATGTGATTGCCATTTGCAACCTTCCCTGCCAGCTACTGACTTTGGTTGTGGGAAGCAGGCAGGAAGTTGCTTAATGACCTTGGGATTCAGTTAACAATGGCAACCAGGACTGCAGGGATGGCCATCCCTAAGCAATGCAGTCGCACTTTGTGACCGCATCGCTTAGCAACAGAAATTCCAGTCCCAATTGCCGTCATAAGTTGAGGAGTACATGTATTAAGCTCCTTTCTCTAAGCAGCCAACCTTGGCAGATCTTGGAAAAGCTGAGCAGAGTTGGACCAGATTAGTCCCTAGATGGACAATCACGAGGTTGTAGAAAACCTGAAGAAGGTGGCAGTAACCAAGCATCTCTGTACTGTTGCCAAGAGAATTACTTGAACATGTCCCAAATCACCAGGCAAAAAAAGTCAAGATGGGCAGTGCAATCACAGAGTCATCTTGACTTTTTAAACCCTTCTCTGAGGTCACCCCATCCCCAGGACTCAAATGCACCTCCTGGGAACTGTCCTCTTTCTCCAAGTGATTTTCTTACTCCTTTTCGTCCTGCTCTTTTCCAGGCCACCCCCTTCTATGCTGCTCTTTCGGGACGTTTTGCTCCCTTTTGCAGGATCACAGTTGCAGGGTGCGTGCCTTGCTCTGCTGACAGGTACGTCGACCTGGGGGAAAAGAACAGGGCAAAAACATAACCCCCCCCAAATATATCCCATCTTTATACCTTTGAGTTTTTCTTTTCTTTTTAAAAAGGGGGTTGGTTAGAGTTTGGGGTTTTGTTTCCCAACTTATTTTTAAAATACTTTACGCTTAGCCACTTTTAGAGCTGCTGCTGAAGTGTTTTGTATGTTTCCCGCCTCAAAATATTACAAAACGATGCCACAATTTTTGAAAAGTGTATCTTGAGGGAGGGGGCTCCAAAGGCAACTCCCCTAACTCCAAGCCCCCCCCCGAGAAAAACCAAGATGCCCCCCCTGGGGCTAAACTAGCTAGAAATCAAAGGCTTAGTGACATCTGAATTGAAGACCCTGGATTGGAGTTCCCAAAGAAGCAAAGATGCATAAGCTAAGATCAAACCCTGGTGCACGGTGTTGTTGTAGGATGTAGAAACAGCAATAATGAATTGCTGCTGGGTGGCCAGACTAGTAATTATCTTAGGTGGGGAAGTAAATTTTGAAAATTTAAACAGAAGCTTAAGAAAAACATCTCATAACAAAGATACAAACACCCACATTCATGCGATGGGTTTTTGGCAAAGGCGTTTGCAGTTCCAACGCCCGGGTTTCTTCTGAGTGCAGCTGGGGTGGTTCTTGAGATAACCAGCAAGCTTTCCTTTGATCCAGATTCCATGTGAACCTGAAAAACATCCTGACGGGCAACATCGCCCTGCATGTCAACCCCCGACTGAAAGACGGAGTGCTTGTTCGGAACTCGTTCATCAGCGGTGCTTGGGGAACCGAAGAGAGAAACATTGCCTTTCTGCCCTTCTCCCCCGGCCAGGCCTTCCACGTAAGACAGGCATCCCTGGGATCAGCATTTCCATCGTGGCCTTTCGGTGGTTGGCCAGAAAACACCTATCAGCCCCCTGATTGAGAAGATAACCTGTTTCAACCAGAGTTCCCTTCTTCATGGAGACTCCAGCCTGGCCCACACCACCTGTTGAGTCTCCATGTGGTTTGGCTTTGGCATACCCAGTTGTGTGAACCCATTGGGACTTAATCAAGCCCAGTGAAGCTGAGCACCCTGAAGGCATTCGGTTTCCAGGGCAAACCACAGCTGTCTTCGGCTTGGCATAACAACAACCGCTTCTGTAAAGCTGTTCCCCCACTAGGGACTTCCAGCATCTTCATGGCATTGCTCAATTGTTGCTGAAGGGATGGAGCACCCGTCTTCATTCCTCTTCTCTTGGGACCAGAAGATGTTGTCAGTTGCTAGTGGAGAAAGGCCTGGAGGGTTGCAACCAGGAACCTTCTGGTCTTCTCCTTGCCCTGGACTTTTTCATTAGAGAGGACAAGGCAAGGAAGAGCAGGAATTCTAAGACATTGCAGGCCCTGGCTGCATTCCCATGGCATGCTAACAGATGAGGCCTCTCTGTGGGAACCAGTTGGTAGAGGGGTGAAGATGCTGGACTAGGAGCAGGGGGACCTGGGTTCAAACCCCCCTCACCCAGGGAAGTTCCTTTAGCGACTTGTCCAAAAAAGGTGGGATATAAATCTAATATGTGGGTAGAATTTGTCAACCTAATACCTTGGTCTCCACATAACACAGAGCCCCAATGGTTAGGTCCACAATATCATGCTTTACTCAAAACCAACCAACTGTATTATGGCTCAATGTGAGACACGAATCTCTTTCTTTTATATTCTCATCTTGTAATCATTTTACAGGCTTATGCTGAAGAACTTTTCCAAACCAATTATTCCAGCATAGTAGGTGGAATGCAGCTGAGAACCTACCCATCTCTCCCATCAGAGGAAGGACAATATGCCCCTTTTTGGGGTGGGGGACACATAGGCCAAACCTGGCTTTCTGTGAAGTCTGGCAGAGATCTCTCTGGATCCATAGCACCTCATCAAGATGGTTTTCAAGATCCTTTTCTTAGGATAACCCAGCTTAATCAATCTTGCATAATTTGTAGAGCTGGTTCAGGAGTGTCCACAGGAAGAGGGAGGGTCAAATAAGTCAAGATGGCAGCTGGGACTGTGCAGTTGAAGCCCCTCCCCTGTTTTTACCCACAATGCATATAAAAAAGGGGTGGGACTTCAAGTGCAGAGTCATGGCCTCTACTTTGACTTTTCTGATGTTGCTCCTGCCTGGTTCTCCCCTACTTTTCCTGCAAATGAGTAGATAAAAAAAAGAAAACAACCTTCAGGATAAGATGTCTCCTGTTTTCTTTTCCCATTAGATGGAGATCACCTATCTACCAAATTGCTACCAGGTGGTGGTGAATGGGCTGCTGAGATTTGAATACGTCCATCGAATTCCTCCCTGTCAAGTGGACCAGTTGGAAATAGCCGGAGACGTGACTCTTTCCTGTGTGCAATACTGATGGCCCGCTATAAATTGCTGCATCCTGTTTCTGCTCCTGCCTTTTGTGGAGGGAGAACAAGAGCACATGGGCTGTAGCCCCCATGCCCCCAAAATAAAATCAGTGCATCAGTTCCAGCTTCCCCACAAGAAACCTGGAATTTGTGGTCCTCAAAGAGAGCCGTGGATCACTTGCATAAAAATGACATTAAGATTTGCAGGATAAACTGGGTGTGTTTACAGTGATGTGGAAATCATGATTAGCCAGTACGTTTGAGCCCAATTTAAAATTGGTGGCTAATATACAAACATACAAGCATTGCATAAAGATGGTGAATGGGAAATCTTACTAAACAAAGAGTGGATAATTTCTACCTTTACTTCCTTATTTCTTACTTTGTCATTTGACTGCATCTTGTTCAATTATGCAAAGAGGGGCCTTTAGCTCCTCAGTGAAAATAAATTCCAAGGTAAAAACAGAGCAACAACAGATTCTGAATTCCTTCTGTGATACTCTGTGTTGTACTGTTTCAGTCAAAGCCTTTTTTTAAACCAGTATTCCATACAAATGGAAAGACCTATAAAGCAACAGAAGGGAAAGTGGTGAACAGTCACCAGTTGCTAGCCAACTCTCTGGAGAAGGCTCTGATGCTGGGAAAGGTGGAAGCAAAGAGAAGAAGAGGACGACCAGCAGCAAGGGGGATGGACTCAGTTATAGAGGCAATGGGGCACCATCGGAAGAGTTGAAGGTCCAGGTTAGGGGCGGATCATCCTGCAGAAAATCTCTTTATGTGATCGCTAAGAGTTAACCCTGACTTGATGGATAATCAATCAAACCATCAGAGTGTTTCTTGCTGCCACCCCCGATAGATCAGCAAGAAGATGGTGAACCAAAACCTTCAGACAGGCTTGTTGTCTCAAATTCTCTTTTTACTCATCAGCAGTGCAGATTTGCAGAACTCATCCTATTGTGCTCTTTGCAACAAACCTGTGGAGGAGCATTTGCATCCCCAAGTTTAAAGACCGAGTGTCAGCGACGATGGGGGCACCAGTGGAAGACGTGAAGGACCAGACTGGGGACAGATCACCCTGGAGGAGGTCGAGCTAGGTCAGTGTTGTCCAAACTTGGCCACTTTAAGATGAGTGGACTTCAACTCCCAGA